GGCCCAGGCTTGTTACTCTTGCTGTCCCTTCTTCCAAAGCACCTGGTCTGTTCCCTCACTTGGCAAAGGGTCCAGGCTTCGGAGTGGGAAAACGAACTCCAGAAAAAGATACAATTCTCAACCTCTGAATTTGTTCAGGTGCTACAGCTTTACAGGAGCTGTGGTGGCGCAGGCCATGGTGCTGTGCCGCTGCCCAGGAGGCTGTGTAGCAAAAACACGGAAACAGCCCAAATGTCTAACCATAATGGAAAGGATTGAGAAATTATCATACATTCACACGATGGAATACTACGCAGCATGCAGGAACAATGACTTTGTAAATCATAACTTAGGAGGGACTGGAGAACATTATGCTAAGTGAGCTAACTCAGTCCCATAAGGACAAATACTGTTGAAGACCATTATTATAGAACAAGTATGAGGATCCAAGGGGGGAGAGTGAGAGCAGAGAGGTGAGGATGGGCAGGGGGTGGTAATCACAGGGTCACACAATCTGATGGGTAGAGAAGGAGGGATGGGTAAAGGAAATGGGAAAGATCTGGTGTGAAAAACAAAGTATACGAACTCTGTGAGTAAAGCAGTACAATTTAAAAAAAAAAACAAACGCTGTGTAGATCACTCACTTTGAATCTAGGAGTTGCTTTCAGGGAGAAAGATGGGGAGTTAAGATTTCAGCCTCAGAAGCCCAGTGGAGAGCTGCCAGGAGTTGGAAGTGACAGATGGCAGTGCGTCTGAGTTTGTTTTTCTGAAAGATTCTTTACACATTGGGGTGTAGATGAGGTGGTGCAGTGGTTACAGAAGTCACCTGCTAACCAGAAGGTCAGCAGTCTGAGTCCACTAGCTGTTCCATGAGAGAAAGGTGTGGCACTCTGAGTCTTAAAGATTTACAGCCTTAAAAACCCTCTGGGCTCGTTCTGCTCTGCAGATGATTCAGCTCTGCTTGTAAGGTGATTGAGCACTTTACAGGGCAAACTCAGAACCTTATCCAAACAAAAGAAAACAGAGACAAGTGATAACACAGGCTGGCCTCACTCTTTTCTGATATCCTGCAGTGCATTAAGAGCCTCTTTCTCACAGGTACCTTGATCCTTCCATAGCAGGACATAAAGGGGTTTGTTAAAGCCCTACAAAGAAGGGTGTCACTACCCATGTTAATTAGCTTATTTCCCAAGAGTGTACAGCTTCAAAGCTGAGCTGCAGAAGGTCAAAGACTGCAGCATTCAATACAAATTGAAGCTCAACATCAAGAAGACAAAGATTCTTACCACTGGGCCAACTGATAGCATCATGATATATAGAAGAGACTGAAATTGTTTACAGCTTTAGTTTGCTTGGATCCACAATCAACATTTTGGTACCAGGAGCCAGGAAATTAAAAGATGAATTGCACTGGGAAAGTCAACTGTCAGGGACCTCTCCAGAGTACTGAAGAGCAACAACATCAGTCTGGAGACTAAGGTGTGCCCGATCCAGGCCACAGTCTTTGTAATTACTTGGTCTAAGTAAGAAAGCTGGACAATGACTAGGGATAACAGAAAGAGAATTGATGTCTTTGAGCTGTGCTGCTGGAGATGAGTGTTGAATATACCATGGACTGCCAGGAGAAGAAACAGGATCATCCTTGAGAGGGTGAAACCAGGCTGCTCCTTGGATAAAAGGATTCATGAAGCTTCATGTGACATACTTTGAGCATGTTGCAAGGAAGGACCAGTCCCTGGAGAGGGACATCACACTTGGCAGGGTAGAGGGACAGCGCAAGAGAGGAAGACCCTTGAGGAAATGGATGACTTAGTGGGGAAATGGGGGTAGGTGTGCCAAAGACAATAAGGTTGGGACAGGATAAAGCAGAGTTCAGGGTTATCATACATATGAGTTATAAGTGTCTCAATGGCACATAACAACAAGAGTTCTATTCTGCCCTTCTTATAGAAATCATGCTGGGAAAAGTGGAAAGTCAGTGAGAGAGATGAAGGCCCTCAACTACATGGAGTGACATAGTGACAAGGGGCATGAGGCTGGCACAGACTGTGAGAATGGTACGGGATAGAGCAGGGTTCTACTCTGCTGTCCACAGGGTCACTATGTTGTTGTTTGGTACGGCTGAGTTATAACTGACTCAGCTGACCCACCAATGGTTTTTCAGAGGCAGTAAATCACACAGGAGGAGACTGCCCATCTTTTTGCTGCAGAGTGGGTGGTGGGTTTGAACCATGTGCCTTTGGGTTGGTGGTGCAGCTCTTTACCACAAGGCCACCAGAGCTCCCTGAGGGTCACTGTGAGGGGTGGTCAACTCAAGGCGCCTCACAGAGACACTCTGCCCTTCAGGGCTGCCAGGAGGAGCTGACTTGACGGAGGAGAGTGTGGGTTTGGTTTATTTAAGATGATGCATTCTCAGCTCCTAAGCTAAATATTGGAGGTTTCAAGCCACCGGTAGCCACCTCGGAAGTTAAGTCCAAAAACTCCGTCAGGAACACCCTGTGGAGCGCAATTCTCCTCAGATACACACACAGACACCATGAGAAGAACCAACTTGACGGAGAGTGGTTAAGATCCATTTCTTCAGTCTCATAGTTTTGAAAGGGAAAAAAGAAAAACCTGGCTCGAGAGACAAGCAGAGGGGAGGAGAGCTGTTAGGGCAGAGGGGAGAGGAGGGGAAGGGGAGAGAAGCCAGAAGCGGGGCTCCTTCTCTCCCCTCAAAACTGAGCAGGCGAGAACTGCCAGAGGGCGGATAGAGGGGCCAGGGCAGAGCGACACTCAACAGAAGTAGCTGGGGACCACCCAGGGTTGGGCATCAGCTGCTCCTCCCATCTAGGCCCCCTGAAAAGCGCCCAGGATGCCTGCCCTTCTACGCCTGATGCCTGGGGGGTGTGCGTTCTATCCACAGCCAGGAAATAAAAGAATAATACAGAACCCACTCTGTCGGAGCAGTGCCTGGGGCTCCCAGGAGGGGTAGAAGCAGTCTCAAGCATCCCCTTCTCCCCCTAAGATCCCACCATGGTTTCCTCCCCTAGCCCCTACCTTCAAGATGCTCCTCCAAATTGGATGTCCTCCCCCAAACCACCAGGCCCAGAAGCAGCATGAGGAAATGGCAAGAAACCTGGATCCAGGACAGGTAAAGTCCTGAGTCACAAAGCCCTTCTGACTGTACCCCAATGCCCACGGTGGGTCCCAAGTCCTTGGTGCTGCCCCTTGCTGGCAGGGATCGTGCCACAGCTGAAGCTCCTGAAAAGCAGGACACCCTCACCCTGCTTCCAGGCCCCATCATCACACATGCACTGAGTTCCTCCTGTTTCAAGGACAAGAGCCCCAGGAAGGCAGCCTTTGGGAAGCTGAGCAGCCTCTGCTGTCCCCTCTGCATAGCCTCATGGCACTCTGGGAAAGGCCCCTTCCTCCAAGGCTGGCCTTCAAGTCCAGCATCCAGAATGCTGTTAGGTGTCCTCAAGTCACAGTGACCCTATGAACAATGGATCTGAACTCTGTCCTATCCTGTGTCGTCCTCATCATCTCTGATTTATCTGAACCCACTATTACACTCAGGGCCAATCTCTTTTGAGGGTTGAGGGTGTTCTCTTCCACTGACCGTCCACCTTTTCCAAGCATGCTGCCCCCCCCTCCAAGGACTGGCCCCTCTAGACAACGTGCCCAATATAGTGAGACAAAGCTTCACCATCCTTGTCTCCAAGGAGCACCTGGCTGCACTTTTTCCAAGACTTATTAACTTGTTCTTTTGACCATGAGATATTTAGCACTCTTCTCCAACACCACAACTCAAGGGCATTGATTCTTTTTCTGCTATCCTTAGTCACTGCCCAACTTTCAGATGCAGAAAAGACCACGGCATGAATCAGCTCCACCTGTCTTTAAACTAACATCCGAGGGGTTTGTGCGGGGAGAAGGGTGCAACAATGAATGAATGGAATTCCAAAATCTCTGTAGATGTTCATTGAAATGAAAAATAAACAAACTAAATTAATAAAAAAAAATATATATTGTTCAACTGGCAAAAACAAACAAACAAACAAAAAAAAACAAACTAACATCCCTGCTCCTCAACATCTTTGAGAGGTCTTAGATAAAAGATTTATCCAATGCAATGTATCTTTTGATTTCCTTACTGCTGGTGCCAAGGGTATTGTGCATCAAAGCAAAATGAAATCACTGACAACTTCAATCTTCTCTCCATCTATCATGATGTGGCCTATGGGCCCAGGAGTGAGGATTTTTGTCTTCTTGATGTTGAGATGTAATCCATAGTAAAGGTGTAGTTTTTGAACTCGGAATGAGCTGGAAGTAATACAAACATCAGGCAAAGGCCCAAGTCGTGGCTTTCGCTAGGCCCTCCTCACAGGTCCCCAGCCCCACTGAGAAAAGCTTAGAAGCCACCAACCACAGGCAGATGGCCCCTGATAGCCTGTTCCCGAAACCCAAACCCCTCCAACCTTCACCACATCTTCCTTCCAAGGCTGCATGCCAGCTTAGTTACCAGTTTCTTTACAGGGACTCATTTTTTGCTCCAATTTATTTATTGAAAATATCAATCACCACAATAAATAGAATGTCAGTACCAGTACTTGCCACAAATAAAAGGTAGCCAATAAAAATATACAATTAAAACAAAAGAGTGTTATAAAAGTCTGGAAAGTTACCCCACCTACCCTAAGCCCAAGGCGCGCCTGCTCCCCAGTAACAGGGGTGTCAGCACAAGTTCCCAGGGCATCAGAGCATGCAGTCATGGACTGAGATGTTCTCCTTGTCATAAAAGGACTGAAAGAAAATCAGAAAGGAAAGCCCAACAGGCTGTGATTTTGTGCCACCCCAAAACATCTCCTGGGCTCCAGGGCCACCCCTGATACTTGAGGAATGCTGGATTAGAGGTGCCATCTGTCTCATGCTATACAAGTGAACACACGGACCGTGGCCCCTCTTACGACCACACCTTCAAGGCACCGCTCCATCCCCCACGCCAGCTCTCACACACACCCCTGGAACTACCCTGACGGTCACCGCTGACTCAGGTGGGACACCAGGTAGACGAGGCCCACCAGCAAGAGCCCACGCACGCCGAGCATCATGAGCAGGAAGAGGAGCAGGATGGAGGTCACTGGTGCCACCACATGGTCACCCAGGTGCCACTGCGGGAAGCCCATGTTCACCAGCTGCCGGTTGAGGTCATTGAAGGGGGACGGAGCAGCACCCAGCCTGGCCCCTGCCTGCTGCTGGCGGGGGCCAGCACCACCCAGGGGGGTGCCATGACCCCTGTTGAAAAAGTTCTGGAAGTTGAAGACAAAGAGAGAGGTATGAATTCAGAGAAAGTGTCACTGGAATTGAGGTGGCTGCCTGAGAGGAAGCCCGTGGGTTGGGCCATGCGCTGACAGAGAGGAAGCCTGTGCTAGGAAAGGTGGCAGTTCTGTGGCCACCAGAGCCACTCCCCCCTCACAACTGGAACCCCAACAACTCAGCCACAAGTCCTCAGAGCACAGAATATTCCCCCTACCCATCATCAAGCTAGGGGACAAGGTGCCCACGACAGAGAAGAGCAGAAGGGCTGAGCCAGGCTGGACTACAGGGCATCGTTCTCGGTCCAACATTTTTAATACCCATCACTCTCTCCTTTAAAGTAACAATCTGGGTCCTGTCTTACTCTCCAGCTTCCCTCATGCAGAGGACTCAGAGGACAGGGTATAGCCAACAGTGGGCGGGTAATCAGGACAAGGAGAGCGAGCTCTCAGCTTTGAAGCCTGGGGATGCAGGGGCTGAGCAATAAATCCTTAGGTCTGCCCCAAATCTTGAACACTTGTGCTCCCCTGCACAGATCTCTAACGAGAGAGCTCCCGGCTAGAGGTGAGTATCAGTAGGAGAGAATTCCTGGACCCGAGGACTAACCAGTACAGAGAACAGGAGGTGGCCGTCCCCCTACCTGGCGAGGTGTGTTACTGCGAGGTGGAGCAGTGGTCCTCACTCGGGGGTCATCGTCCTGCACAATTTCCCCATTTGCCAAAATGCGGACCATCCTCTGAAGAGCTCCGGGTCCCTGCTGGGCTGCACCTGCAATGACGGCCAGGGAGGGAAGGGTTGACACAAGCCAAGAAGCCCAGAGCCCCCTGTGGGTCCACAGTGATCTCAAAACGCCTGAAGGGGGCAAGTCACCAGAGATGGGAGAGATCTGCGGCCAGTGGGACAAAGTGTGACCCAGGGCGTGTGCACTGTTAGTCATGCCAGCAGGTGCTAGGCCTGCTTAATTAACAAAGAGGGAGGAAACTGCCAGACGCTGATTTCAAATCTTTTCCAATGAACTCTACATTGAGTTTACCAGGAAAACTCGCTGAAGGGTTCTTGGAAAAGGAAGTTGCATTACTGGCCACCACCATCAGCAACCACCAGGATCTGAACGCTTGCTGTGGCCCCGACATTGCTGAAGGTGAGTAGAGGTTCATCTCATTTAACGTTCAGGTTTTCCTCTGCTGGAGCCACGAACACAACAGGGAGAGAGGCAGAGGTTTGCCCAGAATCACAGGCCTATGTTGTTGCTTGTGTACCAGTGGGTCAGAAGTGACCCACAGCTGACGATTAATCTCACAAGGGGTGATTGCCCATTTTTCTCCAGAGGAGCAAGCTGGTGGATTTGAACCTCAGACCTTTGTACTGGTGGTGTAATTTCTTATAACTATGCACCAGAGCTCTCTGCACAGCCAAGAAAGAATGGGCAGCCAGAGACTGGTACTCTGGGTGCTCTGTGGGTGCTTAACCAGGAGCCCAATGCACCAGAATGCCTAACCCCACAATACCCAGTTTCAATTTCTCCTCTTTTAAAAAATAGGTATAAGGTGCTCTCCCCTGAGGGAGCAAAAATCAAGGACCTGGCCCTTCTCAGATTCCCAGGGACATCACCAGAGGGTGCAGGCCCACTTAGGTGACTTCAGACCCACTGCCTACCAGCTGACCACTCTGGCCGCCACTAACCTAACCAGTGTCCGCCCCTCTTCTGTCCTCCACCTCTCTGGTAAATCAGCCTCTCACCTCTTAAATAACAGCAGTCAGTCCCCCGCCCTGCCCCCCAACACTAGGAAAGGCCCAGCCTTCCCTAGCCAGGGTGGGGTGCTGCTGTGACCTCGGGGCGGGGCCAGCTGCATTCCGCAGACCCCTGGCTCCCTGACTAGCCTAAAGCCAAGGCCCTTGGACGAAGGACATTGGAGAGTTGGACAGGGTGGGGGGAGCGGGTGGGGGGCCCTTCCCACGACTGTGTCAAGGCCATTTTTCTCAGATTAGCCAGTTTGCACCTAAATTCTCAGAAGCACCCATGGCACACTCTGGTGGGGGGGCTGAGTCCCCGATCGCCCGCCAGTGGTCAGGGGCTTGGGGCGACCCGCCGCCCGGGTATGTGATCTGCAAGCCGCTGCCCCTAAGCACGGCCAAGGGGGTCGTGGTCCTCCAAAGTCTTTGTGCTTCATCATCCCGCCCCCGCCGGACCGGCCCAGGCCCCTGCACTACCAGACTCGCCCACTCTCTGGGCCGGCCCCCAGGGGACCCCGCTGCCTGGCCAGAGGCGAGGTCCGCGCAGGCAGCCCGCGGGCCGTGGGGAGAGGACGCCGCCACCCGCGGAGCCCGGCGCCCTGCAGCCTCGGGCCGGCTCTGAATGTAGGCCGGGGGGAGGAGGGATGCGTGCCCGACTCCCCTCCCTCGGCCCCGGCACCCACCTGCGGGCTGCTCTCCGGCCGCGCGCGTCCACTCCTGGCTGCCCCGTGGCCGCTTCCTCTCACCTGACCTCACAGGAAGCGCGGCGCTGGCGGGGCGCGGCCGGGCGGTGAGGGCGCCCTCTGCAGGCCAGCGCGGGAACTGCAGGCGCCGGCTCGGATAGGAGGGGGCACAGAAGGGAGGCGATGGCAGGGGACCCGCAGAGGGAGGAGAGTCTGGAGACAGGACCCTGCTCAGGGAAAACCGTGGGAGGAAAGAGGGACCCAGACTCAGCCCACCCACGTGTGTCTGCTGACCTGGTTCCCTGGAGTAAGATTGCTGTCAAATCTAAATGGACTCGTTGGGTTCCAAGCCATAGCTGACTCTTCAAATTACACTGGAAGAGATGAGAGATTGGCCGTCTTTCTCTTGAGTAGTGTCGATAGATTTAAACCACCTCATGCTTTTGCGATTGCAGGACTAGACCATCCGAGCTCCCACCTACTTTTGTTGTGTCCTGTCTTGATCCAGTCTCCCTGTCTCTGACACACCTACCCCCATTATTTCAGTAACTGCGTCAATCCATCTCATCTGGGGTCTTCCACTCCTGTGCTGTTCCTCTTGTTGGGCTTGAAATAAAAATGGAAGTTGAAGCTGAACTAAGAAAAACTTACGTCAGGACTTTTCCTAAAAACAAAACGCAGAAATTCCTGTCAGGACTTTTCCCAAAACCAGAACTCAGAAATTCCTGTCAGGACTTTTCCCAAAACCAGAAAGTCCCAGAAACTCAATGCACCAATGAGCTACTCATTTAGGAGGTTGTGAGATGAGTTGTATTAACCAATAAAATCACACACTTGCTAAAACCCCATATAAACTCTCCCAAGCCCAACCCCCAGCACTACTCCCCTTGCTGAGTAGACCTGTGCTCAGTAAACTCTGAGAATTTTCATACCTCAGCATGGTTCTTGGCTTTGATCCGAAAACTTTCACTTCCACCTTTCCAATCATGATGTCCTTCTCCCTACTTACTAAGGTCACCTAAATAGTGGTGAGGAAAACAATGGCTTCAACAACGGCATGAATGATTTCATCTTTGAGTTGACCTCTTCTTTGATGGTAGGTAGGAGTTTATTGCTGTGACAACTAGAAAAGGGCATTCCTGGCCAAAACAACAACCTGGGCAAAAGCCAAAACTTGTAAACAGTCACCCTTGCTAGTGGCTGTAGTATACCCTTCTTCTATCCAAATGCTTCTTGGTCCATGTACAAATTCCACATGAGCACAGTTAAGTGTTCTGGAATTCTCTCATTTTGTTGGGGTTTTTTTTTTTTTAGTGTTAGCTATAATTTATTATGATCCACAGTTAATTGTCTCCATTGACAATAAAGCACATCTTTCTGGTACTCTCTTTTTTCAGCTGAACTCCATTTGAAATCAGCAATTATAATCCCTTGATCTATGGCCTCTTCAGAATCCCACTTTAATTTCTGGCAGTACCCTGTTGGTGTACTGTTCCAGTCATCTTTGAGTAATATTCAGCAAGATTTTACATAACTAGTAGTCATTATATTGCTCAATAGTCCCCACATTCTGTTAAATCACCTTTCTTTAAAATGGGAACAAATATGTATCTCTTCCAGTCAATTAGCAGGGTAGCTGTCTTCCAAACTTCTTGGCATAGGCTAGTGAGTAAGTCCAGGTGTTTGCTGAGACAACTCAATTGATATTCAATCAGTTCCTAGGGCCTTGTTTTTTTGCCAATGTCTTCAGTGTGTCTTGGACTCCTGCCTTCAATATCATTGGTTCTCGATCACATGCTACTTCCTGAAATGGTTAAGTGTCCAACTAGTTCTACCACTAAGTCAGTTCTTTGCTGACCTTGACGAGTCACAACCATCCAATCACCTGAGTTGTTCTGGGCAATGGATTCAGGCAAATCAATGTCTTCAACTGCACAATATAAATAGTCAAAGCACTTAACTAACAGGATGGCTGTGAAGACTAAATTAAAGAGTCTCTAGCTCATGACAAATGTTGACAGAAGTTGGCTGTCTGTGATTTTCTGTCAGTACTTATTTTCAGGTACTAGAGATATGATAGCTAATGTTACATGCATTTTGGCTGAAAGCAGGGGTTACCAGAGGAATGTCTATCTGTGTTTCATTGACTATGCTAAGGTGTTTAAGACTGTGTGAATCACAACAAACTGTGGCTGACTCTGAGAAGAATGGAAATCCCAGAATATTTGATTGTGCTTTTGCAAAACCTATACTTGGACCAGGAGGCAGTCGTCAGAAGAGAGTAAGGAAACACTGCATGTTTCAAAGTTGGGAAGGGTATGTGTCAAGGATGTGTCCTATCTCCATATCTTTTTAATCTATATGTGGAACTTATTATATCTGGGAGGCTGGGCTCTATGAGGAGAAGTGTGGCATCAGGATTGGAAAAAGACTCATCAACAACCTACATTATGCAGATGACACAACCCTGTTTGCTGAAATTGAGGAAGACCTGAAGCGTTTGCTGCAGAAGGTCAAGGACTGCAGCTTTCAATACATACTGAAGCTCAATATCAGGAAAACAAAGATTCTCATCATTTTGTCGATTGACAGCATTACAATAGATGGTGAGGAGATTGAGATTGTTAATAGCTTTAGTTTGCTTGGATACACAATCAACACTTTTGGTATCAGCAGCCAGGAAATTAAAAGATGAATTGCATTGGAAAAGTCAGCTGTCAGGGACCTCACAGAATATTGAAAAGCAACGACATCATTCTGGAGACTAAGGTGTACCTGATGCAGGCCATAGTCTTTGCAATTACTTGCCATGCATCAGGAAGCTGGACAATGACTAGGGTTGACAGAGAGAGAATTGATGTCTTTGAGCTGTGGTTCTGGAGAAAAGTAATGACTAAACCATGGACTGCTAGGAGAACAAACAAGTTCATTTTAGAGAGGGTGAAACCAGGCTGCTCTTTGGAGGCAAGGATTCTGAAGCTTCATCTGACGTACTTTGAACATGTTGCAAGAAGGGACCAGTCCTTGGAGAGGGGCAACATGCTTGGAAGGGTACAGGAACAAAGAGAGGAAGACCATCGATGAGATGAATTTATTCAGTGACTAGGGTAATGAGGGGAGGTGTGTCAGAGACAGTAAAGTTGGCACAGGATAGAGCAGGTTTCAGGGCTATTGTACATAGTGTCGCTATGAGTCACAAGCAACTCAACTGCACATAACAAAAACAACCAACAGTTATTTCCAGAAGTGAGCAGATATTTCATAAAGGCTCATTAGGCTCTTGATATTCACTAATCCCTAGGAGTTGTTGTTAGGG